CAGGCTTCGGTGAACTTAGTTCACACCATACCCCTGCACATCACTTGTCCCAAGTCTGATGATCAGAATCATTCAACAAACTTCCTCAATAGTTAGGCAGTAGCTGTCCTTTTTAAAAGGAGTTGGATAGTCCCCTCATCTCCTCTCCTTTTATAATATCAGCATTGTAATAGGAATACATAGTAGAGTTGTTTCTTATAATACAATCAAAGTTTTCTTTAACCTTCTATGTAGTGAGTGCTGCCTTCCGTCTGCCCATCACTTCCAACAACTTCCCGGATTCCCTCTTTCCCTGCTGCTTGATGTGATGCAATCTCCATTTCTCAAGACTACATAACCCATCATGCATTGCTCCCAGCAAGCAATGATAATGTTACATTGGCAGGTTTAGTTAGAGTGGTGACACATGGAAGTGTACATTCACAGGGCTGAGTGAAATGGTGTCAGTGTATGGGCATCCTTAATAAGTAGGTTTACAAACTTCTAGATGGATCTGGTTAATTAGGAGTCAGATAGAATGTATGGAAATTCAATACAGAAATACAGATTTATATACATTCTTACATATTTGTACTAAGGATGCACCGATATATCGGCTGCCGAAACATATTGGCTGAAAATTGCACTTTTGGCATAATGCCGAAAGTGCGATTTTCTGGCCGATACAGCGGTGCATCCCTGCTTTCTCTCCTCCCCGCTGGGTGCTGCTCTGTGTCCTAGCGGGGAGGAGAGAAACGGTCACAGGCGGCCGAGCGCTGCGAGCAGCCGGTGTCTCTCCTCCCATACCGCTCAGCCTCCTGTCACAGCGTGTCAGGATGGAGAACGGGTACAGGCAGTCAGTGATCAGTGAGTGTGTGTAGATAATTGAGGACAGAGTATGTTTACTATATCCTCAATGATGAATGAAATTGTAGCTATAGCAAACATACTATCTCCACAATGTATGAATGATCGGGAACACTCAGTATAGAGGATTCCTGTTCATTGATAACTGGGGATACAGAAAAAGAGATCGAGGACCTCAAGTGAGTGTCCTCAATCTCTTTTTCCATTTTAGAAGGGAAATATAAGGGGTCTAAACAATATTTCTCCAAAGCTCCTAAAAGTAAAGTAAAAAATAAAAATATTTAATAAAAAATGATAATGATAAAAAAAATTTGAAAAAGTTCAAATCAAAAATATTTTCAATTTCGGCCTGACATTTTTTTTATTTCGGTTTCGAAATTTTTATTTCGGTGCGCCTCTAATTTGTATACATAGATACAGTGGGGGGAATTTATCAAAACTGGAGCAGAGAAAATCTGGAGCAGCTGTGCATGGCAACCAATCAGATTCTCTCTTCAGTTTGTTCAGTAGATTTAAAAATGAAAGAGAGAAGCTGATTGGTTGCCATGCTCAGCTGCTCCAGATTTTGTCTGCTCCAGTTGATAAATTCCCTTCATTATATATTAATAAATACATATTTATTTTTAGTCTGTGACCATAGATATGCTTTAATGATGATGCCTCTGGGTCTAAAATAAAAGGTATGATGGGGAGGGACCAGGAAGGGGAAAACTTAAGCAGGTAAAACTTGTGATGCTACAACAGTGATGCTACAACAGTGATGCTACAACAGTGATGCTACAACAGTGATGCTACAACAGTGATGCTACAACAGTGATGCTACAACAGTGATGCTACAACAGTGATGCTACAACAGTGATGCTACAACAGTGATGCTACAACAGTGATGCTACAACAGTGATGCTACAACAGTGATGCTACAACAGTGATGCTACAACAGTGATGCTACAACAGTGATGCTACAACAGTGATGCTACAACAGTGATGCTACAACAGTGATGCTACAACAGTGATGCTACACAGCTCCTCATGTATATGAATTATTTTTGATTTTAAAAAGAACAAAACCAAAGAACAGAAAACCAAACTTTAGCCCTGGAGGGTAACTAGCACTTTCCCCCGGCACCACTAGACTCTACAGCAGGGGTGCCCACAATTTTTTGTGTTAAGATCTACTTTTCAAATGACGAGCTACATGAGATCTACCAACGAAAAAAACCCTCCCTCGCTCTCTCTCTCCTGGCTGTCTTTCCTCTCTCTCTTTCCCGGCTGTCTCTCCTCTCTCTCTCTCCTGGCTGTCTCTCCTCTCTCTCTTTCCCGGCTGTCTCTCCTCTCTCTCTCTCCTGGCTGTCTCTCCTCTCTCTCTCTCCTGGCTGTATCTCCTCTCTCTCTTTCCCGGCTGTCTCTCCCCGCTCTCTCTCCTGGCTCTCCTTGCTGTATGTTGCAAACAGTGCAGTGTAACAGGCTGTGTAAACTAATATTCTTTGATGTAATACATAGCACTACAACCCCCAGTATCCACCAGAAAGGTGTCAGGGAGCTTGGCTCAGCAGAGTCTTGACTCGGGCTAATAGGTAATCATGTGTGTACAGCTAAATAAATATACCCAAATGGAATAAAGGGGCCGCCATTCACTCCCTTCCTGATCTACCAGCATCAGCTTTGAGAGCTACTGCTAGATCACGATCTACCTACTGGGCACCCCTGCCCTACAGGGAGAGCTTCCTCGGGTCTTGGCCGTCTTGTATGTCTCAGCTCCCCTGGGTTCACTTTCTACATACCTAGAAAGTCCATTACAGATGAAACCGCCAACAGAAGCTGAAAGAAACCTTGTGCAGCCCTGCCAATTGATTTACCATATGCAACTTATTCTGTTTATTATAGGAGAATATTTCACACATTCAACTCTAACAGAAACACGAGACAATTTCAAAACATTCCGAAATTCTTTTTCTCTACATGGCTCACATATTATGGACTTGTGAGACATAAAGAAATCCTTAAAAATTGTTATTTATAACAAAAGAGAAAAAGCGGAATGGTCGTTGACATGGATTGGATATGAAGTCAGGGTCGATGGGACTGACCCCCCGCCCCCCCGTAACAAAGTGGAACTAATCAGAGCACATTGTGCACATAGACACAAGACTATACAAAGAAGGGAACTTATCAAAACTGGAGCAGCTGTGCATGGCAACCAATCAGCTTCTCTTTTTCATTTTCAAATCTTAACTGAACAAACTGAAGAGAGAAGCTGATTGGTTGCCATCCACATCTGCTCCCGTTTCTGTCTGCTCCAGTTTAGATCAATTCCCAAAAATATAAAAGAAGAGGCCGTGTCGAATAAATAGATACCAGGTATGTCAAGACTCAAAATTGCATATGCCCATGTAATGGTGAAAAAGTATACTACACTACCCAAATTGTCCACAGCTCAGTTGGCTTCTTCCACAACCAGTATTTGGCAATCTGAACCTGGAAGTGATCAGGGCTGAACACTTCAGGGCTCATTCTTTCCAGAAGAGATCAGCAATTCGGATATTCGCTGGTCTCCTACTGCTCTGCATCCTGACACCTGCCATGAACATCCTGGGCATTCAGAAGAGACAAGTAGCCTCAGGACACATGGGGGGGTAGGCAGCATATTCATGCCGATGTACAAGTGGTCATGCAGCTTCATTTCTACTACATAACCGGAAGCCAAGAGAGAAAATCTAAACAAACTCCCATTTGATATTGCATCCAGGAGTTCACCGGCATGTAAACGAGCTCCCACCCACTAAAGCTCAGAGCTGAGCACTTCTGGGTTCATATTATACAAGGGAAATCAATGAATGGACGTTCTCCTGCCGTTCTTGACACCTGACATGGCTGTCACAGTCACCCATAAGGGCCAGGTAAGCCCAGGACACAAGAGTTTATGGCTACTCCTGTACATTAGGACCTCGGGACATAGGCCCATAGAAGTCTATGGGACTGTAATGTGGAGACGCAGACAGGAGAGTGAGGATTGCGGCACTGGATGTACACAGACACTGGATGACACGTCCATTGGATCTAGGGATGAACGCATTTGTAGAGGGGGAGAGTGGATTACGCTAAGTCAGTGGGTGGGTTACACTGGGTCAGTGAAATGGTGCAAATAGGATAAGCTCACTTTGTCTTACAGTACACTTGAAAAACAAATCATGTAAAAAATAACAATGTATCTGTACATACCGTAAGCAATGCATCTAACTCTGTCTTGATATCAAAGGGATTTGCATAGCAGTATTCAGACTGCTACAGGGACGGTCAGCACTACGAGTCAATCAGACTGTGCTGACATGTAACACGCTGACAGGAGGATTTAGTAGTCGATGTCTTATCAGTATGCTGTTGCCGATTTAATAATTAATGTCTGCTTATTGTCCAAAGAGCAGGCTTTGGGGGGGCAGCTGACAATACTGTATTCCTTAACACTAGCAGAGAAAGTTGTGTCACCCTTCTGGCTGTAAGAAACACAAAAGTGGCTGAACAAAAGTACAAATCCTTAGCCAGATAAGACCTTTCACACGTTACCCATTTGTCTGGAGTTCAGGTAACCAGCCCAATGTTTACATATCAGACAAAAAGTTTTCTTTAGCTCTTGGCGCTAATGGCTGCCAGCTGAACAATCCACTTGCTGTTGCACACTCAAAGTTTTCAACAATTTATCACAGTTTTTTTACACAGACTTGAGGGGCTGCTCATCCAAGGCTCTGGGGCTTCCACCACGAATATATGTAACACGGTATGTAACCGACCGCAGTCAGCCAAGATTGACGCGTTTCAGGGGCAAGCCCCCTTCCTCAGATTCTGAGGAAGGGGGCTTGCCCCTGAAATGCGTCAATCTTGGCTGACTGCGGTCGGTGGATGGTGATGTGACCGGAGACTACCGTGTTACATGGTCGGGGATATACCACGTGGGGTTAACAGACAGTGTGGCCTCTCATTTGTTGTTAAAGCCTGATGAAAACGTTTGTGAGTACTTTTATCCCTTGTTTTATTTATTGCAATAAACGATTTTACACACAGAGGTGGCGCTCTGTTCCCTTTTGTTTTCAATGTTTACATATGCAGCTCTATAACAGGTCCACATAAATTAGCACATAGCCAAGAGAGAAGGCACTTACATCATGCTCTGGAGCTCAGGGACAAAACTGGTTAACTTTCCAGCTCCTTTCCCAGACGATGAAGAGGCAGATGAAGACAGGGCAGTCGTGGTCCCTGCAGCATTGAGGCTCATCTGGTCTAAGACAACAAATACAAAAATTCAGATAAATGGAGAAACTTTCTACTAATTACAAGTCCAATCTCAAATATTTTATGCCAGTGCACAGCTTTACTTTATTATTTCAGAAACTGTTCTTTTTATCAGTATGCGCAGCATCTTGGCGATAATATTATTTATATCACACACTACATAAAATTTGAAGTGTATTTCCACTTTTGTCGCCAAATTGGGATAACGCCTACTACATATTTGTTACATGTTCCCATTCACATAGCATTACTGGCCCTTAAAAACAAAGTGCACTTATCCTTTAGGTCTCGTTACGGTGAGGTCATCTCTCCCTCCCCATGCATAGATGTATACTAACCGAGTTCCGACGGGCCCAGCCTCTGTTGTTTCCATCCTGTACTAGACATCCCCTTCTCCTGGCCACACCTGTGCAGTACATCCCCATTGAATTCTATGGTGCTTGTCTCCCAGCCAGGAGATGGGGGTAGATGAACCAGTTGGGTTGTGGATATAGTGTGGAAGAGTCAACATTTCAGGTTTGGATTTCAGTCAACGATTTCATCTCCCTTTCTGTCCCCACAACACCCCGGAATACAAACAGTCACCACGACCAAAAGCCACGAACAATAAAAACAGAAGTTCTAACCTTTCCTTATTCTACTAAAGATGGGTTTAGACAAGCCTTTCTGAACCAGGGTGCCGTGCCACCCTGGGGTGCCTTCTGGCTTCCATAGGGGTGCCGTGGAATTTTCACACATCATCATGCCTTTGATTTGAAAGAGGGGGACTCTGATGTGAAGGGGGACTTCTGATTTTAAGAAGGTCTCCTGGTGTGAGAGGAGGACTCTGAGGTGAAAAAAGGTTCATGGTGCTATGGCCATACTGAGCTAACATCCGACGTCGAATTTCCACCGGTTTCAGGCCCCATTCACACGTAGCGATATATGGCGCGATTTCCGCCACGATATCGCGCATTTTTGCCGCGCGATATCGCGAGAAGTCGCCGGCCAATGATATTCAACGGAGCTGTCTTAGCTCCGTGTCGCTCGTCGCGGGCCGCTTCTACAGGACCCTTTTTTCTGCGGATTTTGCTTTTTTCTAATGGAGCCCGACGGAGGTGGTCACGCTACCGGCGCTGGATCGTCGCCCCAAAAGTCGCGCTATCCCGGCCGCTGCAAAAGGTATGTCGCTACGTGTGAATGGGGCCTCACTCCCTCTGTCTGAAGAAAGTGTACTACGGCACATTGTTCTTCAATGGTGCAATGAAGCGTCCATGTTTCTGTCCACGTGACTACCACTCGAGCAAACTCCGAGAGCTGAACTGCATTGCGCAAGCTTCTCTCTGTTTCTGTTACCGCCTCATTTATAAATTGCCTTTATTGTTGGATTCTCCCTTATACTTTGAATCACTTTTTCCAATACTCTATTGTCACAATGGGAATGTTAGCTTCCAGCACTAGTTCTTTAGTAAAATGGTTACTTAAGTTTAGATGGAGCTTTAGGGCGATGTCTTCGCCGGGAGTTCTGCGCCAAACATAAACAGCGGCAACCACTCGACCCCGAAATCTAATTTACTTAACAACTCACGTTTTCCCGGCCCTATCTCAGTCTTAAAATACGCCTGACTGCACCTTAGTCGCAGACTCATTGTCTCGCTATGCAGATTCTTCAGAAACCCGCTATTATCCCAAATTTTACACTGTGGTTTTCTTAAAGACCTGGAAGATTGCATCAGCTATTGGATTGGATGAAAAAAAAAAGTCATAAATGGAAAAGAATTTTCAAATAATCCCATTTAATACGGTGTGATTCAACGGCTGTTTTGCAATATAGCTGAATCCATTCATTGGGTTTAATGCCCTTATTATCACTCTGCATCACTGACCTGATATAACAAGCAGATTCCTGGCTGTCGGGTGAATGTGCGCTGTTTCTGGCCTTCGCTCGTGTTTCCTAGGCGGTTTACTCACATGTGTTCGAAGTCATAAAACACAGTTTGGATCCAAGAATTCGATCCAACCTCCTACCATGAGTTTGTCGAGTACATCTCCAGAGCATTTACATGCATTGTGATGTGCTTGCATGAAGTTATATTAGGTGTGATCGCAGGTGGTGACTACACAGAAATATATAGTGTATATATATATATATATATTAGGGCTGGTAATGATTAAAATTTTCGTGGTCGATTAATCGATTTTTTTCTTAATCGATTAATTTTGATTAATTATACCGCACATACAGATCGAACTACATTGGCCTATACACATACAGCACAGCAATGAAGTAATAAAATGAACTAGGATCACACTAATCCAGCACGTTACTAATCCAGCACGTTATTAATCTCACGTGCCCCACTCAATATGGCCGCCGCTTGAGTGGGGCAACTCAGAATAATAACGTGCTGGATTAGTGTGATCCCAGTTCATTTTATTACTTCATTGCTGTGCTGTATGTGTATAGGCCAATGCCTTGGCTGGCGCTCATGCAGAAAGTTTCAAAAAAAGTTTAATCGATCAAAATTTTTGTAATCGATCAAAAAGATTAACGATTAATCGAGAAATTAATCGTTAATTTGCACAGCCCTAATATATATATACACACACACAGGTAGCCCTCAATTTACACCAGGGTTAAGTTCCATAAGGAATGGTTGCAAATAGAAACCGATGAAAATTGAAACTCAGTATAAAATGTAAGTCAATGGGAAGTGAGGGAGTTAGGTTCCGGGCCTCTCTCAAAAATGACATAAGTGGCATAATATACTATATATAGAGCTTTGTAGTGAATGTTATGAATGCTGAACAGTATTATAGCCAGAAGAGAGAGTGAGGGGAGACAGCCGCTGAAAAACCTCCATATGGCTAAGTATACCCCTGTGCCACCAGCATGCACCTATGTGCCTCTGTATCCCCAAAGGTACCCCTGTGCCACAAGCGTGGCTCTATGAGCCTCCATATCTCTAAATGAACTTCTGTGTGCCTCCACATCTCCAAGTGTTCCCATGTTCTCCTCTGTATGTTCAAGTGTACCACGTGTTCTGCTCCGTATCTCCAAATGTAGCCCTGTGCTCCTCTGTATCTCCAAATGTAGCCCTGTGCTCCTCTGTATCTCCAAATGTAGCCCTGTGCTCCTCTGTATCTCCAAATGTAGCCCTGTGCTCCTCTGTATCTCCAAGTGTACCCCTGTGCTCCTCCGTATCTCCTAGTGTAGCTCATGTCCTGGTCCGTATCTCCAAGTGTACCCAATGTGCTCCTCCGTATCTCCAAGTGTAGCTCATGTCCTGCTCCGTATCTCCAAGTGTACCCAATGTGCTCCTCCGTATCTCCAAGTGTTCTCCTGTGCTCCTCCATATCTCCAAGTGTACCCCTATGCTCTTCTGTAGCTCCAAGTGTACCCTCTGTGCCTCCAGCATGTCTCTAGGTGCTTGTGTACATCTCCATGTGTATCCCTGTGCCAACAGTGCATCTCCATGTGTGCACCACCATATCTCCAAGTGCCCTCTGTGTGCCTCTGTAGGTGTCCACAGTTTTTTGATTGTGCAGAGCCCCTTCCTGTGCCGCCATTCACCACCTGTGCCCCGATCCAGCCTCCAGAGACTCTGCACGGTACTGTACTGTTAGTATTCTAGCCACTTGCAGTTGTTTAGCATTCCCCTGCGTATCCTTCCACAGATGAGGTCTGCGGAGGAAGGATACACTAGGCGGCTCTATTGTTTTAATGGTAGTCATGTGACCACCGGAAAGGGCACTATTTTGAAACGGCGCAAATGGAACGGGTGCAAACTGAGCTCTCTCTCTCTCTCTAATGACTCCCAGGGACAGGGGCATCATGGGATTTGTAGTTTCACTAAAGCTGGAGGGCTGGAGTTTGCCCACCCCTGCAGCAGCCTGTAGCGGGAGATTCTTCCGTTGACGCTGTTTAGCCATTCATTACGAACAGCACGCCAAGGTAATTGAACATGATGTGAAGGGAAATCGCCTCAATGGGACACAGATGGCAAAATAAGAGCTGACAGGGGTTATAACCCTCCCTTACTATCCAAAGCTATAGGAAAAGTTTTGGCTTCAGTTCTACTGCTATTTACTTCTAATGCAACTGGTCGGGAAAGTCGTATCAGGCTACCCCACCTCGTGCCTCCCCCCCGCGCAGTGCTAACTGCTAGTTTTTGTCTACATGCTAAAATAAAATGTTATACTCACCCGTTCCTCTGAGCCGGCTTGCTCTTAGACCGGTCCTTCTACCCTCGCTCCCCCTCCGCTGCAGCAGTCTAAAGATCCTCGAGTCATCACGTTCTGTACACAGTGTCTAGGATGTGAGGATGCCGAAGGGACATGCCATCGCTTCAGTGGAGGAGGAGACAGGCTGGAGGGAGCGCTGTCACAACTGGCCAGCTCTGAGGATCGGGTATAACTTTATTTTAGCACCTCGACAAAAACGACCACTTAAGCCTTGAAGTGATGAGGTAGGCCCACTGCAAGGCTTAATAAAAGTTTTGCCCAGAGTTCTTCTAATGTATTCTAAGTGTGTCAGTGTGTGCGTCAGTGTGTCAGTGTGTCAGTGTGTGTGTTCTTAAAATGTGACTGCAAAAGTAGAAATGTGCTTTAAGCCTCCAGGTCCCATTGCAGCTCTCCTTAAGTGCAAGGAATGCATGTAAAACTTGAAAGACAAAAGGGGGAGAGGGAAGCGCATAGATGTGGCGCAATAAGCATTAGCAGCTGCTATAATAAAGAAGAACTCCGGTTGAAAATGTTCTTGATTGCACTGTCTCCCCAAATGTTGTAAAGCATTGTGCAAACTGTTGGCGCTATATACAGTTGAGTCCCTGCGGGGAGCGGTGTCTGACAGCCACGGCTCTCTGCAGGGACAGGATCGATAAGTGAGCGAGCTGCGGTATGCGTTCGCTCACTTCCCGATCAGTTTTATTGTCACAGGTCGGCTCGAACCATGAGGATGAGTGATTTTCCCTCACCTCATAGTTCTCCTTTAGGCCCCACGACGATATTGAGCGACGTGTCGCGCAACTTTTTCCTATTGGGCTGTATGCAATCAGGAGCAATATCGCTCGAAATCGCTCGAAAAAAGGGTCATGTAGGAGCGACAAGCTACAAGCGATATTGAGCGACGAGATGTGAACAGCTCCATTGAAATGGATTGGAGAAGCTACATAGAGCGATATCGCGTGGAAATATGAGCGATATCGCTGCAAAAATTGCGCGATAAATCGCTCAGTGTGAATGGGGCCTTAATGTAATTGTCAATAAAAGCCTTTGACACTGATGAAATGCTTGTAATCATACTTCAGTAGACCAGAGTAACATCTGACAAGAAGATCTTAAAACACTGAAGCAGCAGACTTTGTGAAAATTAATATTTGTGTCATTCTCAAAACTTTTGGCCACAAATGTAAATCCTGTATTATAATAACTAATGGGCCAGGAGGGGGGTGCGCCACTGACAGTTCCACACGGGCCACTACTAGTGATCCCGCCAGTAGGGACCGTCTACCGGTGAAAACGCTCTGTTCCTGACTCCCATTTGTACTTCTGCGTTGTCAACCAAGCTTCAAATGAAGACTATAAGAGGCCGCAACACATAATAAGCAGGCATGGCCCAATGTTATCACCGTTGTGTAATCCTCCCCCAGTGCAGCAATCCCTGGGGTGCATATGACTGCAAAGAGGCTGCAGGAGATCAGTTGCACTAAGATGCAACAGCAAAATAAATGCCAATTGTGGCAAATATAGAAATGCTTTAGCAAACTAAATGTAACTCGCTCAGTGCTGACATGCATATTAATATGTCAAAGTTTATATGAGATTTTAGTCATTGGGTTTAGATCTACCTAAAAAAAATGCTAAATGTGTAATCAGGCTGTAACATCCTGCGTCCACTTACAGAACTTCTAGGTGACAGTATGCAAAAAGAAAAGTTGCTAATGATTGCCACTGCCGTGCATGACACATGGGCACAGTGTTGTGCATCCACTGCAAAGTGTGATGACAAGCTGCATGCATTTGTAGTCCATGTGACTGTACAGTATGATTATGCTGCAGACACATCAAGCACTGTCCTGCAGCCACTTACCGCCTTTCTATGGACAGTAGCAGATCTGTGAGCTGCTCTCAGGCCGAGGTGCCCAAATCAACTCCAGCAAGCAACCCACATGAACGTCTATGGGCGCCCACAACAAACATGGCTGAAAAGACAAAGTGCCAGCAGTAAATATGGCTGCCGCGATCCTATCAAATACGAGAAACGGACTGTTTTCCATCTGTAAATATGGCCGCCGCTGCCTCATGCTGCTCTAGCTTTGCCCTATCAGCTTCCTGCTTTCCTTGTACGGTGTCTGGTGAGGGGCAAGATTTGTGGGAAATCAATTTTTGTACAGAAATGCCATGAGCTGAAATAATGAAGACAGCGTGAAATTATTTCAAAGACTATCTGTGTGTAGATAGATAGAAATTGTTATATAATAGTAAATGTCAACTGTCTTACCCTCAATTCAGCTTCAGCCTCTCCTGGACTTGGGGGGGTTGGGTGACCAAATGGCAGGGTGGTGCTAATATCTGGCCTGCTGGGTGGCCTAATGACGGGTAATTACTCCTTGGCGGATAACTGGGAGCACTGCTATACACTGAGACACCCCCTTCCCATATGAACACCCCAGGTTTGCCCCACATCCCCCACTGAACACCCAAGATATACCTCACATCCCCTCTAACCCCAGATTTACCTCACAAACACTACCCCAAAACACCCCAGATTTACCTCACAAACACCCCAGATTTACCTCACACACACCTGAGCACACCAGATTTACCTCACACCCCCCTGAACACCCCAGATTTACCTCACACACCCCCTGAACACCCCAGATTTACCTCACATACACCCCCGGAATACCCCAGATTTACCTCATTTACCTCACAAACACCCCCTGAACATCTCAGATTTACCTCACAAACACCCCCTGAACATCCCAGATTTACCTCACACCACCCCTGAACACCCCAGATTTACCTCACACACAACCTAGATTTACCTCACACACACCCCTGAACACCCCAGATTTACCTCACACACACCCCTGAACACCCCAGATTTACCTCACACACACCCCTGAACAAACATCCCCTCTGAACACCCCAGCTCACATCCCCTCCTAACACCCCATATTTACCTAACATCCCCTCCTAACACCCCATATTTACCTCACACCCCCCTGAACACCCCAGATTTACCTCACATCCCCATCTAACACACCAGATTTACCTCACATCCCCTCTTAACACCCCATATTTACCGCACATCCCCACTGAACACCCCATATTTACCTCACATCCCCTCCTAACACCCCAGATTTACCTCACACCCCTCTGAACACCCCAAATACCCTAGAGTTTATCCCCTTTTCCCTAACAAGTTTGGGCCGCAGCTCTGGTCCATAATGTTGTACTGACATAACACCCCATATTTACCTCACATCCCCTTCTAACACCCCAGAATTACCTCATACCCTACTGAACACCCCAGATTTACCTCACATCCCCTCCCAACACCCCAGATTTACCTCACACCCCTCTGAACACCCCGGATTTACCTCACCTTTTTTACCTCACCAGATTTACCTTTGATGCGTGGACCTATATTGGTTGGACTTGAAGGACTTATGTCTTTATTCAACCCCAAATACTATGTAACTATGTAACCTCACCGTGCAGCAATCGTATCCCCATCTAACACACCAGATTTACCTCACATCCCCTCTTAACACCCCATATTTACCGCACATCCCCACTGAACACCCCATATTTACCTCACATCCCCTCCTAACACCCCAGATTTACCTCACACCCCTCTGAACACCCCAAATACCCTAGAGTTTATCCCCTTTTCCCTAACAAGTTTGGGCCGCAGCTCTGGTCCATAATGTTGTACTGACATACCTCCTAACAGTCCCAGATTGTGTGGAACGTTCTCACATTTTCACCTTAGTCCCATAGTCCTGTGTACAGAGGCTTTGTCTCGCATCACCCCGCTCTGCTGTCTAACTACAGCCCCTTCAGCGGTCACATTCTCCCCCCCTGCATGAGCATTGTGCTACAGTCTCTCCCGCCCCTGTTACATTGTGCCTACACCTAATTCATATCCAAATCAGTGTAGGGTTTGTGTATCAATGAGCGTCATTGGTATCTGCATATGAATTATGCATATGCAAATCACGCTGCAACCTGTGTATATACGAATTACACTTCTGCACCCACACAGGCACTCTGACGTTAGGGGTCCTGTGTGGGGGGAGGAAAGGAGGGACTAGCCATTTTTGGATGGAGGTGGGGGGGTCTTAACTCCACTTTCCTACAACAGATTTGGGACATATTTTCTCTCATTGGCCGACATTAAAGGGCACAATATTACTTACCACTGCACTCTGTACACAGTGCTGTACCTTACATACCTCTGACCCCTGACTTTATACCCTATGTTGTACATTATACTCCTGACCCCTTCACTATATTCACTATGTTGTACATTATACTCCTGACCCCTGTACTTTATACCCTATGGTGTACATTACACTCCTGACCCTTGCACCGCATTCACTACAGGCCCGGCGCTACCGCAAGGCAAGTCATACGGCCGCCTGAGGGCGCTGCAGGGTGAGGGCGGAAAAAACAGGGCATTTTGACAAGTACGTGTACTTGTCAAAATGCGCCGATGCTTGCGCTATGTTTTTTTTTTTCTTCACGTACCTTCGGTGCGGGAGAGCAGCGGCGAGTCAGCGCTGGTCCGATGGGAGGAGCTCCAGGTGGGGGTCCTAATTTAGCTGGCCGACAACTGCCAGAGGTGCCGCGCGTGTCGAGATCCTCTAGCAGTCACCGGCCAGCTA